CATGCAGATATTTTGCTGCTAACCATGAAATCCGTAAAAGCATATCTTCCAATAACTTAATCCATGAATTACGATAAACAATCGAGAAGTAGGGACACCTTAGCGAATATAATGGCACCACATGATCAGAACCAAGAATCGCGCCTACTAGGAGAAACATGAAAACGTAACTTCAGGGTTTCGAATGAACTGTTTCTTAATCGCTTTATTTTATAAAAGCAGTTAGGCAAGGCGATTTTTTATCTGTCAGTTAAATGTCAATTCTAGCCTGCCAAGTACAACCATTAGATTTCAAAATTAACCCCTCAGAAGCCATGGCAGGGTAAAAAGTTGTATGATCAACCGATAAACAGTAACATATTAGTAGGCCTGATGTAAATTTGTGCCATATTTGTTGAATCTCTTCAGCAAAGGCTTTATCACTCTGATTCGTTGCAAAAAATCAAAAAAAAGTTAATAAACGGAAGTCATCTGAACAGCTAAAAGACTGGAATAGTGCTCTTATTGGTCACTGGAAGATACAAGAAAATTAGCTAACTCCTGCTGTTCGACACTCAGGCTTTAGCACTGCATTGTGTAACTCCTAGGATGTCTAGTAACTTGTTTATAATCATTAGCAAGTAAACTCCATCAGTTAATAAAGAAACGTGCCTTGGCGTGCCACGAACGGATGAACAAGGTATCAACGTGTTGCAGTTAGGTTTAGATTAAATTCGCAAAATTGAAGCTTCAGACCAAGCTCTATACGCTTTCAGGGTTACATAAAGTGCTGCATTGAATGTAACTTCATTGTGGCACAATGCTTAGGAGGTTTGCTTCGAACTTCGGAGTTGCCGCGTTCGATTCCGCTCGAGGAAAATCTTCGTTTCATTCACGAAAACTCCGTTGAGTAAGGAATTCACCAAACACTGCTGCAGACGAAACTGCTTACTGGGTATACCGTCGAACTCAGAACCGAGATATCCAGAGGTTGATAAATGAGTACTTACATGTGGAAAGGAAACGGGAGACAACACGCTATGCTTGCCATGGGCTTTAGAATCTGCCGTAAAAATAAGGCACTCCTGGCCGATAACTTAGAAACGGAGATCAGCACTGTATCACCAACTTCAAGAAGAAAGGGCTCAAAAATAGCCGCTATGAAAGTGAAGAAGATCGACATTCCAACGGTGACAAATTTTTTTTCAGTCCAATAAGGAATGAGTTGGGCCTGAAACGTCACCTTTACGACTAAAGTCTAGTAAATAAAACGAAGTTTATGCCCCCCGTACGATGTTTACTGCATCTTAAATGACGCTCTTTTTCCAGCATAAAAATCGTGCAACATATTCGATATGAACATTCGACAGCCTTGAAAGCCGCTGATTCCTCAGGTTGAGAAGTCACAACCGCGATAGTCTGAGCTTGCATTGCGAATGCCTCCAGAAAGGAAGGCAAAGTAACTACTGTTTGCACAGCCGAACGGCAGAATGCACAGGGGATAACCAAGACTAATTTGGTGCAAATATATGGAAGGAGATGGCTCTAGACTTCGTATGTCTTCTGCCGAAGCTCAGACCTCAGACTCCGGCATAGAATTGGGAACTTTAAAAGCACTGTCTGACGCGTCTGCCTCCACGACCCAAGAGGACAAGCTGTCATGGAAACTGGTTAAGTGACTGAGAAAACATGTGGCATATTCAATTACAAAAGTATAAAAATAAAATCGATATATTAAATATTGCGTTAAGCATCAGCGATTGTCAAGTATCAAAAACAGACAGTCAGAAGCGTAGCTTACAGTGGCCCAGATTGCAGTAGCTTCTGTAGTGTCAGAAAGTCGGCCAGGTACTCGTCGAAACTGGTGTAAGCGTCGCGCAACTCCGGAACCAACGGTCCGTTGGCAGAGTCGAGACACACCTGCACTATACCCTTATCAGACCGAATAAAATAGCCTGCCGGCGGGGGAACGTCGAAGCTGAACGGCGTCCTTTCGAGCAGATCGTCGGGAGGATGGTAGGCGACGGAAGTGTCTGAAAGTACTCCATTCGGTCATCGACATGTAAAACTGGCAAGTTCCTAAGTTTCATGCTCTAAAGGTTAGTTAGACACAAAATTTCAAACACGTTAAACACTTCACGAAACTCTGGAGAAAGCATTAGTCACCGAAACGGTCTGCCATCACCAAAAAAACGAGAAACAAGAGTCGAAATTTAACCCTTCCAGAATTCTTTGCCAGAAGAATCACAATCTAAATGCGATATGCCCGAAATTTCGTTTACATGCAGAATTACGTCATGGCGTTTTGGCCAATGATGCAACCGTGCTGTTGTTCGTAAGTACTTCATTTGGCAAGCGATTTAGCAAATTCTCAGCTTTGTATACATTGGCGACGAGTGCGTGCTTCCGAATGAATGTTGCAGTTTCTTGCCCAATGTAAAAAGCAATAAATACCAAGAATAGCACTAGCAAGAATGTTTTACCAGAATATCAACTTGCTGTTCTTCATTCGTTTTACATGGTAGCTCTGTATGAGACGCTCGTTCCATAACATGACATAACTACCGGTCGTACTCGAATGGCTATCAAGACAGAGTAGTAAAGACAAAACTGTTCGCGAAACTACAGACCACATTCGTGAACGATGGTGGGGAACAGAGATGATCAAAAACTACAATTTTTATCAGTGGATGTCCAGACGCTGCTCAAGAACATAAAATATTATTTCTGCTGATGATGCTACAAATCCAGACAATAACAAAAAGCCCTTAATAAAGGACATCAATAACCTAGCGAAACGTCCTATGCCTAAATTATCTGTACCCAAATGTGAAGCCATTAAATGTTTAAAAATAAATAACGATATAATTATAAAAACAGACAAAGACAACGCCACGGTGGTTACAGATAAGTTAGACTACACTAACAACCACAACGAATTATTCGACATCTCCCAACGCTCATAAGTACAAACCCTATCTCGTTCTTTGTTTACAAACTGTGATGATTTCTGTCACAACACAAACTGAACATAAAGTTCTTCAACTCAATTGGAACACTCCTCAAGTTCAGCTGTAAGCAAGTGGCATCGTACCTTCACTACATATATAATATACAGATACTTCATGTTTCTTTCAAGCAAACAATTTCTACTAGGAAGCGCCTTTTTCTCAGAGGTCTAAAAGTTAACTGTGGAAATACTCTAGCCCTTAACAGGAAGAAATCTGTCATACAACAAAATCATGCATGAGTTCTGCGGAGTAGCGTGCTGATATAATGCCTAAGACGTCTGCTTCGAACTCCGGAGGTGGTGGGTTCGATTCGCCTGTGGAGATCTGTCTTATTTACAAACAAGGAATTTGATTTTTGAACATTCTTGAGCAAAGAATTTACCACATTGCTTCAGATCGGGATTGCTCAGTCGGTAGGCCGTCGAACTCAGAATCGAGAGATCCTAAGATCAAGCCCCGGTCAGGGCCACTCGCAATTCCATTCTTCCTTCCGAGGTCAATAAATGAGTACAACTCTGTAAGATGGAAAGAGGAGACCACGCGCTACGCTTGTCACATGGCGGTAGACATTGCCTTAAAAGTAGCGCACTTTCGGTTGATGGCCTAGAAACGGAGATCAGCACTACATGGCACAATCATGAAAGTGAATGAAGACCGACAGTCCAACGGTGACCCACCGATGGAGACATGGTTACGATGATAAATATTTGTTTAGTAAAATTTATCTTGATGTTACGACGGTCGAATGTCGACAAACGAGGTCATAAACAAGCCTTCAGCAAACGATCCTTTTGCCGCCCGAAGGTCGATCACGTTTCAACACTTTGGTCAAGGATTTAGAAGGGGAAACAAGCACATGTCGAAGAAAATTGACTGACGTAACCCGCAAAATGCGCGGCAACTGTTTGAACCATTCCACATAAACGACAGCATGTTTGTGTACATTTAAACAGTAAACTATGCAATAAACAAGAGAAAGAAAACAAAAGCGGTTCTGGCACCATTTATAGACAGTTTAGACAAGCATCAGAACCCGTTTTCTCGGCTACAGCCAATGGTGCTTCGCATGTTTGCTCGATACTGAAACAGTATCGAGTAAGACAGCCGCACCAGCAAAGTACGAAAAACATCAATACAAAAATTGCTTCTTTGACGTACTGGTTTCAGTCATGAACTGTGCGAGGTTAACTGAATTTACTTATGTCTTCCGGTGTTCTAAGCAGGCAAAACTCTCCCAAACTCAACCTCCGCGTCCCCTTCACGAAAAACGGGTAATAGCTAGGGCCTTTCTTTACATGAAGTTAACGGTGGGACGTTGATGCCCATTTCCATGCCGTCAGCCAGGAGTACCTTACTTTAGAGGTAAAGCCAACAGTATCCATGTGGCAAGCATTGTGTGTAGCCTCATGTTCCTTCCCATGGAATGGTCCTAATTTATCAACCTCGGAATTAAGAAAGGTGACGTACCCGACCGGGGCTCAAACCAAGGACCTCTCGGTTATGAATCTGACACTCTGCCGACTGAGCAACCGGACCACAGTAACCGAGGTCGACAGAGCTCCTAATCTCTTTTGAGGAAGTTACATTCACCTCTAGCACAAGAATGCTCTGCCTACAAACCTGGACGAACAAAGGGTTTGGGGAACTGTAAACCGAAACTAGCGGACTGAAAGTAACGAGAAAAACTGAAAACTGCGGCGAGGACTGCTTTAGCCACTCTACAATTTGAACGGAGGCTGATGCTTCGTGGTAACTGGTAGAAGAACCAGACGCTGCTTGATATGGGAATAGAAAAAATAACATTTCTGAGTCATCGTTCTTTAAATCGTCATCGTTCTAAACGCATTACATTTGTAACCATCATTGGCAGACAATTATTTAACAGCATGGCATTCTGGCAGCGAGGGGCACAGTACCTACGAGGCGGGCTTCGAAATAAGGAAGTAGCGGATTCGACAGCGGACAGTGGACAGCGATCTTTGTCTTAGCCACGACATTTTGCAAAAAATTTACCACACGTTGATTCAAACCGGGGTTCCTCAGTTTATAGAGCGCCTAACTCAGAACTGATTAGTCCCGGATTCGAGCCCTGATCAAGATCAGTCGTTTTTCTTCCTTCCGAGGTTGATAA